GGAGGCGCTGTTGACATTGATGGACGAAAGATGATTATTGAAAAACAAGTGTGCTAGTATATAGTTAAAAAATCTATATTTCGAAAAAATAAAAGCTTTTAAAACAATTCTTGCACACTATTGAACTGTACAGGTAAGTAGATTATCTTGCATGGCGTGATGCATTGTTGTTCTGGCCATTTAAATCAGGTGATTAAAAGTTATTTTTAAAAAGTCTCAAGACTTTAAATTCCGCATGTATATTTCAACAACTAGGCGTTTTCGTAATATTTTTTATGGAGGTGAAATCATCATGGAGGCAGTTTCTGAGATAGAGCAGGAAGCAGGTAAAAATTAAAATTGTTTAAAGTGGCGTCATTGATTCATTGCGCATCTGACTCTTGGCAGCAAGTGTGTAATGTTTTAGTTACAACAGTGTTATGTAACTTTGTAAATTAAAATCGTTCAAAGTAATTGAATTTTCAATTATTCAATTTTTATAGAATGGAAGGGGGTAGGGGGCAGGGGTCATACATACACCATATAAAGTAACAATCATGTATATGTAGTAAATAAGGAGGGATATCATATAATTTATGGCAAGTACTTGGGTCTTGGTGTATTATTCTTATTTATTATGTTTGTACGTATTGATATGTAAATGGTACATATTTATAAACCAAGACCAAAGTACCTTTGTTGTAAAAATTCAAATTTCTGTGATTTGGATAGATAAGTTTGTGAAGTGTTTGAACTGTCATTAATGCTAGGTAAGGAGAAAAATTTTCTTCTGGTATGTATTAAAATATATAAATTTGCATCTTTTTTTCAATATTGTTCTACTCGGGAAGGGGGTGCATTGAAGGGGATTTTTTTACTTGTAATTTACATATTCATATAAATTAAAAGTGGCTTACCCCTTTGTAAGCACTTTTATAAGCCTGTTTTGTTACATAAAGAAGGTGAAGTAGAAGAATGAGTGTTAAAAAAACAGATACCAGTTACAGAAACAGAGGGTATATACAAAAAATTCCAGAATCTGTTGAACACCTTTGATGTCCTTGTGGTGGAAAGCTTTCATTACTACATCAGAACATTGACTGATGATGAATCGCTGCCCTCAAGTTAGTCATCAGCTTAGGCTTCATAATGTTACAAGAAGCTTTTCCTATAAGAAGCTGAAGGACAGCTATACATAATAAATGTGTGTTGTAACACATTTAACACAATCCTTAAGATAATTTTCTTTAGAAATCATTCAAATCACGGCTGCAATTATTTCACCAGAAGAGCATTTATTGAAAAATATCAAAGGTGCAATCTCCCCTTTCCCCTCTTGATGTGCATGTACATTTATCCACATGCTTTTGAAACTTTCCAGAAAGAGCATTTTTGATTTTTTTTATACATGTACTATAATAAAATACTTTGAAAATTATAGAAGGTTGAAAATCATCCGCACTATATAAGATTTGATAATTTAATCTAACATTAAATATTGTAAAAGTGATAATTTGAAGAGCAGACATTACAACTTGTTGTGTAAATTTATGAGAAAATCATAAGCATGTGTGTGATACATCAATAAAACATGACACAATATTGTTACAACAGATAAGAAGTTACAAGTAAAATAAATTGATTTTGTAGATAATCAGTTGAAAACTGACCATCAAACAGAGTTGTCTCTCTTTGTTCAGTAGTTTTATCTTTTTCGTCTATTTCCAGTGATATATGTGGAGGATACTGATTTGGAGGATAAAATCATTGGATCCATGATGCCCAGACATCCTAGTGGTGACTCCATCCCCTCTACACCCCGCAAAGTCCCTCTTAATGGTACAGTAAGCCTATTTTATCTACATGTATAAATATCAATAGATATTGGGTCAAGTTCCATAATCAAGCCATGGCTCATAGTAACATTTTGTTTGATTTATTTTGGCTTATTAGAAACCATTTCTTACATGTACATGAAATTGAAATGTTTTTGCATGTGCCTGTTTAGGTATTGTCATTGAGTTTGTTTGTTAACTGGTTAGAGGATCCATGTTATAGGACATCCAAAGACTTTCAATGCTGATGAAATAAGATGGAAAGTTGATACTTGTATTTTAATAGATACCTGGTACTTTGCCTCCTGACAATTGAAACAATTTTAACCTATTACTTTTGAGATCAGACACCTTTAACTGAAAGGTACATACCAATGTTTTGCTCACTTTTTGTCATAACGTCATGAACTGACTGTAGGAAGGTAATTTCTACAGGTCAAGGGGTTCAATGATTTGTAATTGAACGTTAGTCGTATGTTTTTAGAATACAGGGCCATCAATGATTTTATCGTTAAGAGTTGAATTTATCCATTTGAAGAGACTGTTCAATAAGAATTAAATCCAATAGTTTATTTTGCCAATTATGAAATGTGAAGAGGTGAATTATGATCATTGAACCATTGCTAAAGTGCCTCCTATCACCACGTATTGAAAGCCCTGCAAAATATAAAAGTTAAAACATTTTAGCATGAAGATGTGAATTCATTCTTCAAAGTCCTAGCAATCTCCAACATTTTCTCTCTTTAAAACATTCTTCATTTATGATTAAGAAGTCTCTTTTTTGGAAAAACAGATCAAAATAAGATTATAAATGGCAACTTTGCTTGATCATGTTTATGAAACACACTAAAATGAAATGATTTTTTTACTGATATAAGACATGTATAATGTTGTGAAAAGAAATGAATATTTGCACTGGTATCTGCACTGAACAGAATTGCGTGACAGAAAAATCTATCTCTAGGTGTTTGGAACATTGATCAGTAAATGTCTAGAGAATTCTGACACTTTGTCCAATACATTGCCATGCTTGATGAAGTAATATTTGGCCAATCTTGTGCTATTTCTGCAAATGAGGTGTTAAAACTCCAGCTCATAAAATATTCATTGCATGGTGGTGCATAAGATGATAGTATAGATATTTTTTGTTTAATCGTGTTTATATTTTTGGGAGGTTTAAAGCGTTTTTGTTATTAGAGGAGTATATTCTGTGTTAGTAGTACTAGTAGTTGTTTGCTAACTTGGTGGTAATTTTCTTAACAAAAGGCTATATCAACAAAGATGTGAAATCTAATACTTTAAAGTACATATAACTTTCATTTATACACTGAAAGCCTCAAATTTTCCACTCTTTATTTCTTTCAGTGTTGATTCAAAATACAGCGTACAGTTAAGTTCTAGTGCACTTAAAGTAGTTGATGGCTCTACATGTGCTCTATGCTATCATTACATTTAGACAGTATTAAAATATAGACAATTTTGCATTAGGACAGCTACAGAAATAAGCATAAATTTCATTGATTTATTTTAAAATTGGAATTACTCTGAGAGGTCAAAGGAGGTGCCATTGAGAGTAGCCCTTCTCTTTTAAAGTTATAAGGAGTACTTGAGCATGTCGAGGGATCTTGTTTGGTTAAAAACTTTCAATCAGAGCATCTTAGACATTTATTCATTTATTTTTTCAAAAAAAGAAGGACAATCAAGAGAAAAAATTTTAAGGAAAGAGTTGAAGCAGAGATTATCAAAAATTTGTGTTAGTGCATGCAGGGAGGATTTACTCTATCTTCTCTTGTGAAAATAGATACAGATGTTATCATGGTAATGGGATTTTAAGAGCAGCAGTGCATGTAAGATAAATTTTCATGTTCTTCTAGGTTTCTCTTAAAATTATCTTCATGTTTACTTGATTTTTTTAAATCTCATTTCAATATATTGTCTGGGAGTATTGCTTTCTTGGGTCTTAAGTGACATTGAATGGTTGAGTTGTTTTGAAATTTAAGATTTTTTGTGTTTTTAGTGTGCTAAAACAGGACTTAAAAAAAAATGATTGGATGTTTTACTTGCTATTCATCAGAGTAAAGGGAACAATTGATATATAAAGTGGTCATAGCAGATTTTGAGTGGAAATAAATTTAGTGGGATTGTGCAGAATCCAGTTTTCTCAGGTTTGATATTTTCTAGGGGTGGTAGAGGTGGGTCAGGAAAGAGCCAAGAATAGACTAAATGGTGTGTAAAGGAACATTTTTGATTAATCAGATCTCTTATACAGTGTTGCATTTAGGATGTGTGGGAAGTACTTAGTTGAGGCGTGCAGTAAATACCAGAAAACCCTACTTTTAGTTTTAGGATTGATTTGCAAGTTTATCTGCTATGACCTGGGGGGGGGGGGGCATTGGGAATTAAATGTTTATTTGGGAAAGAAACCGAACCCCTAAAATTCATTAATTTCTGTGGAGGGTCATATTATAAAGTGAAATAATCATAAAATGTCATATGTTTTATTAAAAAAAATTGTCTACCTAGTTCACCATAGTGACTGGTACATGTAATATGTCATGATGATTATTTTATTGCTAAAGTATTATCCAAATTCAATTTAGTAATTGATTCAATTGTATGGAAAATGTAAAATAAGTTGAAAGCAGCCTCAACTCATGATTTTAAATATTGTTTTTGATAAAATATTGGCTCTTCTGAAACATTCATGTTTTGTCATGATGATAAGAGTGTTCCACTGGTTACTCAAGTTTGATATAAGTATTTGTAGATTTTAGGACAGTTTATCTTATCAGATTGTAAGAGTTTCTATGGCTTTACTGGTATTAGTGCCAATACCAAATGTATCAACTTTGCATCCCAGGATACTTTTTTTTCAAAGGACAGCTGAAAGTGATCTTGAGTGAGGAATTCAAGGATATGTTGGTCCGTTTTAGTGATTAGAAGAATGAAGGCCAAGTAATACTAAATAGGCAAGGCAGTCTGCTTGCTTATATTTCATTTGTGGGTGTATTAATTTCTTTTCTTTAGGACTATATTAGTATATACAGCAATAAGGCCATAATAAATAAATTGCTAGATTCTCATCCGAATTTTTTTAAAAATCGAGGCGGGCGGGCGGCTTTTATTTTATATTTTTTATTTTTTCAATTTTGCAGATTTCTCATTGACCTGGTCAATCGGTGTAATTTCATCTCAATACCCGAATAAAAGTCAGAGTAAAGGTTCAATTATCTCTTAATTCACATCATCACCAATCTTTTTCAACCCATGACCCTTGTTTAAAATATATACGCATGTATTACAGCAATTACTATCTTTTCAGCTGTCAAAATCATGTCGACTTTCGCGGGATTTAAAACGAAAGTAGAATGGTTGATGAATATCGATCCCGATCAGAATTAAGACGAAGAAAAACAGAAATAAAAAAAATCGAGGCGGGGGTATAAAATCGGGGCGGGCGGGGATGAGAATCTAGGAATATTTTTATTATGGCCTAACCAAAATTTGTATAGAAAAATAAAAAGGGGGTGGGGTCTTGCTAATAAAGTTATAATGAAGATTAGATGACTGTCTCACAAATAATTGTCACTAAAATTTGTTGATGGACATTACAGTGTTAATGGAATTACTGTGATTACTCCAGAACTGCAGTTAATATACCACAATTTTTACCAATGAGAAATCAAAAAACCTCAGCGTAAATCAATTAAGATTAAAATGGAACAGAGAGGATTTTCAGACACAGTATATTTATCTTAATTTCTTATGGGAATGTTCCCTGTATAAAGTTACTCCATAATATAGTTTTTTGGTTTCAGAAGTTTATTAGTTGTTCAGTAGATATATTGAGTGTAGATTACCAAGGAAACCAGAAATTCAAATTATGAAGATATATATACATGTACTATAGCTATATCTAACTGGAGTAGCTATAGTTCAAGCATGTAGATAACCAGTGATGATGAAATATACATTTCTCAAACATATCAGTGACTATTTGTATACAAAGAGAAACCTGCCTTTTATTGTGTTTTGATTTATTGCATGCATTCTGAATTATGAATTGGTTACCCAGACAGAGTTATTGACCCAGCTGATATTTACTTGGTGAAGTTCACAAAGCTATGATTTATGAAAGGAAGTGGTATATGACTTTCTGATTTGTGAAACAGGTAATATCTGATAAAAATTTGATTCATAAATGTGCAGTGCTGTGTAAAATTTTATTTTGGATATGATAATAATGATATGAACATTAGGAAAAAGAGAGAAGCTATTGCAGACAGTGTTTACAAGATGTATGTTTGTTATCTGGTAGAATTTAGGGGGGCAAAGATAACTTAATTGAAAAGGCTTTTAATAGTACATGTACAACCTTTCACTGGGAGAACTGTGGTGTTGTACTCATGCATTATACATGAAGTAAATCACCTGATTTGATGAACACAGAAAATCTAGTTCACCATAGAGGCTGGAAATTCTTAAATGATTCATGCCAATTAAATTAACATAATTACGTTTGGGATCTTAGGTGTAGAGTTCGCGTCTTAGCCACCATTATTATATATATGACCAAAGCTTTCTTGAGACTATGAGTGGATTGACGATCGCGAGGGGTGCGTTGGAGACTGATGCAGCATCCAACGCAAGCTGTGGTCCCGAAGTGCTCACAGATGTATAGATTTTTATTGTGACAGTATGATTAGTAGGTTTATATAGGGACCGTTACTTGTTTGACACATTGAGTATGTCAAAGTCAATTCGCTATCGTGAGTACAGATGATTATTACATTAAGCTTCATCCTATTTTTTTGAAAACTGATTATTTGTCGTGGCAACTGTTTGTAGAATGGCAGACTCTGGTGTATGATAGACTTTAGCTGAGGGGCATAGATTCTGGGATTGTTCGACTGTCAGAAAAAAAAACGGAGCTTTAATATTGTCACAGGAGAGAGAGAGAGATAATGAGACCGAATGATATGTATATCAATTTCTCTCTTCTATGATAATGATGAAATGACCATTATCTATGGAAATAAAAGTGATGAGTTGGTCTCTCCATATTGCTGTATAGGCTGTGGATCTTGCCCAGGTCGTGGGTTCGTGTCCTTTAATGATGTTTTTCATTAATGGTTAGGATAAGCTAGTGATGTGTGTGTCCAACCAAACAGAGTGAACATAATATGGCGTTGTTCAAAGGGATTAAGAATTTACCCCGGAAACATTCTGTCGAGAAAATGGATTTACCCAAACGCAGAACCCGATCGGATGGTAAGAATAATTCAGATTGTATCAGGTCCTGCAAATTGTAATGCCAATTCAAGCTTTAATATATATATCCATTTGATTATCCCTTTGTATTGAATGTTGCATTACCACAGCTTATATGTTAACTTTGTCTCTACTTTAGGCTGTACAGTATTTAATCAAATGAAAAACTGAAAATGACTTTGAACTGTATCATTGTAAATTCATGTAAACATGTACTTGAATATATACTTTTTATATATAATTATATGTGAATCTTTACTTTGTACCTATAATGCACTACTGGGTGAAGCTACTTTGGGTATGGGAATATTGTATGGATTTAAGTAAAAGCAATATAGTACAAGCATTTTGTAGTACATTGTACATGTATATTTCTCATTACCCCATCACATTGGGTAAGAAATATTTCATCGCTGCTTGGTTTGGTTTCTTTTCACCATTTAACTCCCATTTAAAAATATATCTGTATATGCTAGGGTTCAAAAGATTTTCATCTTTTAAACCCCCAATAATGTTTACATTTGATTTCTCCCAAATCAAACTTCTATTTATAAGAAGGCAATAACACTTTACCAAAGGTCAATAAACTTACACAGTAAGACTATGCAAATTGGATTAATCAAATTAAATAAAATTAAATAAAAATGTTTCGTGGAGTATTTTGAATGATAAATAGGATTTTATAGCAAGTATATATTTCTCTTACACACTTTCACCTGACTAAAATACTAAATTGCCGAATGAAGATTTTGCACAAATTGTGCTATCTTTGTTCTCTATCTATAATATTAGTCTGTTTTTTTATGCCTCTGTAAATCAAATAGTATAGTTTTTACCCTGTCTGTCTGTCTGCAAAAATGTTAATGTAGCCCATAACTTTGATTGGGTAAAGCTATGAACTTTCATATTTCACATACTTAAAGGTACCCAAGGTTAACTAATATATCTATTTAACTAAAGACTATTAAAGTATTTTTATTTAAACCTAAATAAACTATACATCAAATCTTCTTGTATCTTAGACCCAGTGATGTTGTGAGTGTATATATATTTGATTTGGCATTAGATAAAATGCAAATTAACATGCTATATATATAAGAAGTTATTCCTGGGTTTGTCCTACCTTGTTTTAGCCTTGATTATTAATTGAAAATCACCTTACTTGGTACAGTTCTGACAATCTTTCATCTGGGATGGTGTTGAGCAATAATTGCTGTCTGCTAGATGGAGAAATTGGTTTTGTTCCACTGAATTCCATTACATTAATGATGAGATTCATTTTAAAATGTTCTCATGCTGAACTGCGATTAATTAATCAAATGTCTAGTGGAATGATATGGATACTTGAGGATTAGATTTTAGTTACCATTATCCCACTCAGTGTGCATGTACTGAAGTATTTTTCTATATAAGACCCATGTTCCTTGTAGTAAATTTTTTCAAAATTTTTTGTCAATTAATGAGATAGATTCTCAATAAAAATACATTAATTTTGCTCTGTGTACATGGTGTAGGGATTTATTGTCCCCCACTTGAAAAGTGGGGGATATTAATTTGGGTCTGTCCGTCCGTCCGTCCGTCTTTCTGTCTGTCTGTAACGCTTTCGTTTCCACACGATATCTCGAGAACCCTTTGAGCTTTTGCAATGAAATTTAGTATAGCAACTCCCTATGGACTAAAGAAGACCCCTATTGATTTTGAGGTCAAAAAGTCAAAGGTCAAGGTCATAAATAAGCAAATTCTGTCTGTTAAAACATCGTTTCCACACGATATCTCTAGAACCATTTGAGCTATTGCAATGAAATTTTACATAACAACTCCCTGTGGCCTAAAGAAGACCCCTATTGATTTTGAGGTCAAAAGGTCAAAGTTCAAGGTCGTAAATTTATACATTCTGTCTGTGTGTAACACTATCATTTCCGGGGGATATTTGAAGAAGATTTTGAGCTTATGCAATGTAATTTTATACCAAAACTCCCTAGGACGTCTCTCGCCCCTCTCAAAGTGCCCCGCCCCGTGTGTTTTATTAGTATTTATAGTATTACATGTCGCTATTTTTAGCGCAGGGGCATGAGGAGAGTTATTGCGTATAAAACAGGTTCTCGGCGGACTTTATGTTCTTATTACATCTATTAGAACTGTTTAATAAAGGCTAAATAAATCAAACACCATGGATTGTGTAAAATTTTGAGAATACCAAACATGAAAACATGAATATATACATGTATGTGACTTCAGTTCTGCATATACTTCACCCCATCGTAAAGCGACTCCATGGTCTAGTGGTTATGTCTCTCGCTTCAAATGTGAGAGGTCCCGGGATCGAATCTCGGTCGTACCATTCTTTTTTTTTTTTTTTAAATACTTTTTTTTTTTTTACTAAATGATAGTATTCAGCATGTGAAATGAAAAATTTATGAGGTTATAAAATCATCATTCAGTGTGATAAATATTCCATATAAAAAAATCTTCTATACACATAATAAAGAATAAGCTCAAATCTTTATATGTATATTGACATACATGTATTTTATTTCCTTCAGTATACATGTATACATTTAATAACTCTACAAATTCAGTCAGAAATCAAATCTTTATATGTATATTGACATACATGTATTTTATTTCCTTCAGTATACATGTATACATTTAATAACTCTACAAATTCAGTCAGGGGGAGCCGACTTTTTCCCTAAGCGGGGGACACGAATTCTCTGAATTAGCTTGTTATTTAATACATTAGAATCAGATGAATGATAATCCAAATATCTTAAGAATATTTGCAGAGGACAAGAAAGCTAAAATACACTATAGTTATATATTTGAGAAAATCAGTGAATTCTAACTAATAAGTATCTAATTATAACTCTGAGGTGACTTCTGGCTTCTATTTTTCAAAGAGCCAAGATGGGCTCATATGCTTCACAACTGGAGTGTCTTTGGGTAGAGAGTATGCATTGACCTTGAACTAAATCTCCAGTCAAATGTCAAGGTAAAAAAACCTTCTTGTGTGAAAGTATTTTCTATTAGCATATTTTCGCTCCCCTTTATCCAGTTGGGCTCAAAGTCAATCATACTTCACCTAAAGAGTGCCCATTAAAAAATCGCATGCTTTGACCTTGACCCAAATTTCTTGATTAGAGGTCAAGGTCAGAGAAATTCTTGTTATTTAAAATCCTTCAGCTTAGAACATGGAGAATATGAAGACCCACTGTGTTTACCAGTGATAAAAATATTTTCCTTATAATCCTTCTGTTTCTTAACATTGCCTGACATATTCTTCACTGGCTTTGGAATGGTGATGGATGCTGTGTGCTTGATCTACTAAGGTCTTAACTGCTTTTTCAATTAATTTTAAAATATACTGGGTAATTTTGCTTTTGGGGTTAGTTATACCCCCCGCAAACGAAGTTTGGGGGGGTATATAGGAATCACCTTGTCCGTCTGTCTGTCTGTCCGTCTGTCTGTCTGTCCGTCTGTCCGTCTGTCTGTGCAATCGTGTCCGGTCCATATCTTTCTTACAGAGGGACATTAGAATCTACTACTCCACATTAAGATTGCTCATAACCTAAGGGTGTGTCATGACCTTGACCCAAGGTCATTTGGGGAAGTTCAAGGTCACTGGAAGAAAAATTTCATAATTCGTGTCCGGTCCATATCTTTCTTATGGATAAACTTGGTAGGTTCTCATTTCACACAAAGATTGCCCATGACCCAAGGGTGTGTCATGACCTTGACCCAAGGTCATTTGGGGAAGTTCAAGGTCACTGGGAGAAAAATTTCAAAATTCATGTTTGACACATATCTTTTATGGATTAGCTTGGTAGGTTCTCATTTCACACAAAGATTGCCCATGACCCAAGGGTGTGTCATGACCTTGACCCAAGGTCATTTGTGGAAGTTAAAGGTTACTGGAAGAAAAATTTCATAATTCGTGTCCGGTCTATATCTTTCTTATGGATAAACTTGGTAGGTTTTCATTTCATATAAAGATTGCCCATGACCCAAGGGTGTGTCGTGACCTTGACCCAAGGTCATTTGGGGAAGTTCAAGGTCACTGGTAGAAAAATTTAATAATTCGTGTCCGGTCATATCTTTCTTAAGGATAAACTTGGTAGGTTTTCATTTCATACAAAGATTACCCATGACCCAAGGGTGTGTCATGACCTTGACCCAAGGTCATGTGGGGAAGTTCAAGGTCACTGGAAGAAAAATTTAATAATTCGTGTCCGGTCCATATCTTTCTTATTGATAAACTTGGTAGGTTCTTATTTCACTCAAAGATTGCTCATGACCCAAGGGTGTGTCATGACCTTGACCAAAGCTCATTTGGGGAAGTTCAAGGTCACTGGAAGAAAAATTTTATAATTCGTGTTTGATACATATCTTTATTATACAAAAGCTTACTTCTGAAAAACCCAGCGGGGGGTATTTTGTCCCGATTGGACAGTTCTAGTTTAGAATGCAAGGTTTGTAAACTCTTTTATGCTTAGATTATGTATCAAATCATAGATGATCGTTTGTACTACTTTAATTTGAAGCAACTCAATTTTCAGGGTATCCTGTACTTCTGATTTTGTCATTTTATCAACTTGTAATTTGATGAACAAAAAATTATTTTGTTTTCTTAATGAATACTGATTGTCTTTGGACTTTTTCAGGACAGGATACACTAGAGCACAGTGACCATGCCTTCAATATGCATCCATCCGTGTCCTCACCTACATTTGCCTTCGGACAAAACAGGGCCAATGTAAGTAAGCATATGTGTAGTATAAATCTGGACTTGTGGTAAAGTAGATACTTTAACGAAATACGGAACTTTGTGTCAAATCTAGCTGGCATGCAAACAACACATGCTGCTTTGTATAGAGTATTTAGATGATGTCCTTCCAACTGGGCCAGTTCATGCAATTACCAGGTATCTGATGTTGGTATTTTGGTCCCTCACATCTGTTGGGTTGATGTGCTTCCTTGCTTGTTTGATTAGCAATCAGTCACTAAAATTATCTCAGAGAAATTTCCTTTAGATTTCCGTGCAAATATAAATAAGTTATCAGTTATGATGTCATAGTTCATGGTACAACATGTATACTATATTTTCCATGTATGGGTTTGTATGCTGAAATAGCAATTAATCTCTAGCTTGGTTACATACATGTACATAAACATTTTTGGATCCATTAATTGATACGTCCTCTATATATAAAAGCAATTATGACAAAATTTCACTTACGAGTTCGAGAGGTCATCAAGATGTGTAATATTCAGTCGAGGCCCGGCCTTTGTTGAAATATATATGTACATAAATATAGATGGTTTTTTGATAAAGCAGTGAGTGTGATTCAGGAAGAAAGGGTTACATCCTGAGAAGAAGGGCTGAGTAGGAAAGTGATTAAATATTAATACAGAGACCAAATAAAACAGTTCTGGGGGGATCAGAGCAATGAACTGCATGGATTAATCCCAAAGATGTTGAAGAAGACGGTTAATCTGTCTCAAAGCCTCAAAAATCTGACAGCTAAGGTGGGTATGGAGTTCTGTTGATGATGAAGTGACAAAGACTAAATAGTGATTATGTTGGTTTAATGTCAGCCTAGTGATTTTGTCGATGAAGATGACTATTTGGATGTCTTGTGTTTTTGTTTCTTTTGTTTATTATGGATGAATTGCATAGGTATATATTACATGTAGTTAAAAATTGGGGAATCAAGTATTACACACATTTATTGTTCAAAAATGGTGGGTGTTTGTCTGCTTTGCAGTGTGTAGCAGGGACACTTCCTTCAGTGAAAAAAAGGAGAAATGTCACCTTGAAGTTTTTCTCAGTATATGTTAGTTAAATTAGGGTCATCCACAGTGTTATTATATACTTTGTCAGTCTTGTACTCTGTTTTTGAAAATGATAATGTTATATAACATGTATAAGCTTCTAGTTAATGATAATACATCTAAATCCAGTCAATTCTCTCCAAATTATTTGTCTTTATTCAAGTAGATAATTCTCAGTTGAAACTAATGTTACCAAGAATTTAGTTCTTGTTTATACCAGTGGGTATTGTTGGGAGAACTCAAAGAAATTACTTATTTAATTAAAATTATCTTTTGCAACCATTAAATAAGAGTTGTGTATCGTTTTTTAGCTATACTTAGAAGATAAGATTTTACAAGTTTTTATCGTATTTGAGTCCGTAACGAGACTGTTATGGTGTTTTGTATCATGTAAATATGCATATGTAGTACATGTAAAATAAACCCATGTCAACCCAAAGTCAAAGGAAGGAAGTAATACAAAAGTCATTGTATAAGGAAATTTACAATTGATATCTAAATATAAAAATATGAAACGCAGCTGGTTTTGAAATTGAAAATTTCCTTGTAATGAAGAGCTAATCTATATTTTCAATTGTTGTTGCTTAAAAAATGTGCTTTTCCATAATCTGAGGAAAGAGTATCGAATTAGTTACTGTAAACCAACTTTTATTCGCGTGCGAGAAATTTTCGCGAAGTTCGCGACAGCCTCTTCATCGCGAATATTTCTCGCCGCGATCCAGTCTTTAAGGTCTCTTTCTCTATTAACAACAGATAAAGAAGGCTTGATCGCGAAAATTAATCGTCGCGAACTAGTTTAACCTCGGTAAATCGCGAATTAAAGTCGTCGCGAATAAAAGTTGGTTTACAGTACGCCGTCTAAGGTAAGAATATTGTGTGTTATGTTAGTGGGCAAAAGGATGAACTGTTTTCCTACACAGCTGTTTGTAAGATAATTGTTATTTTTATTGATCTAATAACGAACAATTAAGACTAGATATTGACATATTTCTTCTAATTCAGTCATACAGAATTTTTGGGGGGAGGGGGTGGTGGTTGATCGGTTGTTACCTAGGATAAATATTAACACTAAGTATCTTATTGTAATTATGCCCCCCTTCGAAGAAGGGAGGGCATATTGCTTTGCTGCTGTCTGTCGGTCGGTCGGTCGGTCGGTCCATTTAGTTTCCGTTCATTTTCTTCATAACCGTTGCACATACTGAAATGAAATTTGGTATACAGGTATATCACATGAATATCTAGGTCAAGTTCTGTTTTGGGTACGATCGTACCATAATTGACAGAGTTATGCCCCTTGGACTTAGAAAAATTCCAATTATTTGCAGTTTCCGTTCATTTTCTTCATAACCGTTGCACATACTGAAATGAAATTTGGTATACAGATATATCACATGAATATATAGGTCAAGTTCTGTTTTGGGTACGATCGCACCACTTTTGACAGAGTTATGCCCTTTGAACCTAGAAAAATTGCAATTATTTGCAGTTTCCGTTCATTTTCTTCGGAGAGATTTCACATATTGAAATGGAATTTAGTATACAGATTAGTCAGATGAATATATAGGTCAAGTTCTGTTTTGGGTACGATCGCACCCTAATTGACAGAGTTATGCCCCTTGGACTTAGAAAAATTCCATATTTTTGCAGTTTCCATTCATTTTCTTTGGAGAGGTTGCACATATTGAAATGGAATTTAGTATACAGATTAGTCAGATAAATATCTAGGTCAAGTTCTGTTTTGGGTACGATCGCAACATAATTGACAGAGTTATACCCCTTGGACTTAGAAAAATTCCAATTATTTCCAGTTTCCATTCATTTTCTTTGGAGAGGTTGCACATATTGAAATGGAATTTAGTATACAGATTAGTCAGATGAATATCTTGTTCAAGCTTTGTTTTGGGTACGACCGCACCCTAATTGACAGAGTTATGCCCTTTTGGACTTAGAAAAATTCCAATTTGTGGGGGAGGGGGGCATAAGTGTTTTACAAACATCTCTTGTTATTAGAAGATATTAATTAAAATCAGATAAGTTTGAAATTCTGCAACATTACTGTGTGCATATGTACATGTAAATGCATTGATTAATTAAAAGTTTTATTTTGATGAAAGCAGAAAAAAATTCCTGAAAAAATCAATCCAAAAATTATTTTATTCTGTAATTAACTTAATTGTGTTCTTTTTTTCCCGTGCATCTGGATACATTGCTAGTGTCAGCAGAAGTATTGCTACACATAATTAGACAACTTTTATTGATCTAGAGGCTTTCCTTGGCTAGTCCAGGCAATCAAGACATATTTTATGAAGCACACACAAACAAAAATACAATAATACACACAGATATAAATGGGGATGGGATGTACGAATTCACCCAACGAAAACAACACTCCTGGGCAAATCTACATTGTACCTATATTGCATGAACTGACCATTGGTCATTTGGGCAGTCATGAAGATGGAGAATAGTTTGGAAGTCTTGTGTATTAGACTGTGGAGGAATCTTTACTGCTGTGTCGTAATGTGACAATTATTGCCCTATAGATAAATGGTCAAGATAAACAATTAGATTTATTGTTTGTGTATAAATGGAAAGTTAATGGAAGTAGGCACAGTGTTCTAGGAGGGACCTTATGTCTTTGTCTGGTGATGAAGGTAATGTATATAAAGGAAAGATATCACATTTTATTAATGGCCTTTCAAAATGTCTGGGGCATTTCTGTAAATGATCTTGAATAAATTTATGTGGAAGTGCTATTTAAGTGAATGTTATGTTTAATTTATGTGTATATGTAGATAATTGAATTGATTACAAAGTCAATACATGTACTAGTATTGACCTTCACCTGTCTAGAGGCAACATATAGAGCAGTGTTTTTGTATGTAAACAGTTGCACATAACTGATGCTATTAAGAAGAGGTTAAGGGATTGGCCCTTACTCCAGCACTAGATGCAATTTGATTTGGTCTACTTCACTAAATGTCATTTTGACTATTGATTGATCAATACAGACTAATAATGTAACTTGTTTCTGTGCCATGAAGTAAAAATGATTCATTTAATGTATTGATAGGATATTACTGTCTGTTAGTTTTAAGGATTGACTTTACGGCAAAAGTGCATAAGAATTCATTTTATTTCCTAGACATATTAACAGGAATTTTCTTAAGGAGTGATAAAAAGATGGTAAATTTTATATCATGAGTATTTGGAGTGAAGGCTGCAGATTAAAATTAAAATGTATTTTTTGAAATTTTTTTTAACCTTGAAATCACTCATTTTCATGGAGATTTGATATACACTATACTCCTTTTAAGAATCCTCCACAAATTGTATAATTTCAAATATATAACATTTAAGTATATATATGCAGTTCATCAACTATGAAATCAAATCCCCTAAACCATTATTTTGTCCTTAAACCACAAAAATTTGCCTAGTAATTTCACAGTAAATGTTCTGATTTAAAAAAATTGCTCAGATTAATTTCAATTTGTATATGTTTGAATATCTATTTTCCAGTCTGAGTCCAAGCTCTTTTCCCCGACTGGGACCCCAGACAAAAACAGTGCCAAGCTCTCCAAGAGGGAATCATTAAAGGTAAGGGGGGAAAAAATCCATTTAAATCAACACATTCAAGACTACACTTGTATACCAAGGAGATTTAATTTTACCAAATATATACTGCCCTGGAACCTTGTAACATAAAAATGGATTCCTCTATGCAGGTTCAGAAGAAGAATTACAGGAGTCAAAAGAAGCAGGCGGCCAAGGAGCTGCAGAGCACGTTAACCGATTCCTCGGTCGTGGTGCTGGCCGACTGGCTGAAGGTCAGAGGCACGCTCAAAAGTTGGACCAAGCTGTGGTGCGTGCTGAAGCCTGGATTACTGGTACTGTACAAAAGTGAGAAACAAAAGGTAACTACAGGTTTCGTAGAGAATGTTTGAAAATATCAATAGATTGATGTAAATTTGGAGATAAGTTCAAACTGCTGTTTTGAAAAGGACCTGGATTTAATATTAGATATGATAAGAGAGGGCTTTTGAAAAAGACTAATCCCTAGACTTATTTGATAGACAATGTTTTGCTTCAGATGGGATTGATTTCTTTTAATGAACTTGTATTGATAATCCTTGGTTCCTTGAAATCGTTAATGATGTTCAGAAGTATTTCCTGCTGAATTAATTTTCTGGTTTCATTTTATCTATATATTAATAAAACTCAGTGCCAATTTTTTGTTTAAAGAGTGTTGTGTATGGGCATGCAGAGTATGTTTATTTAAACACAAAGAATAAGATTACACTTTTGAAAAAAGTTATTCTATTCTCAAGGCCAGTAGACCCATGTTAAAATGTAGATTAAAGTCTGGTACGGGTGAAATGAAATGAACATAGCATTATTTTCCCTTCATATTTTGCGTGTCTATTATGTTTATCTAATGGAAGAATTTTTTGATTTTCAGAGCAGTCACTGGGTTGGCACTGTCTTGTTAAACACCTGTAGAATTATTGAGAGACCATCCAAAAAAGATGGCTTCTGCTTCAAATTATTTCATCCACTGGACCAGTCCATATGGGCTACCAAGGTTCGATTTTGACTTCATTAAAGAATTTATACCTTTCTCCCTTCCTCTTTAATTAAACTAGAAATTATCTAGTCCATCTCAGTGGTATTCTGAATTTGCAGAGATTAAACAAAATTTAATGTTAACCACAAACCAATAGCAATCTTTGTATCAGATGGCATACATCTCTACTACATAGTCTGAATGGAACCCAGACAAAGTTTACTAGGTACACTGTACTCATGAATATAGCCAAAATCAACTCCAAGAGTTGCTGCTCATGTAGAGCAGTGGTTATAGAGTCTTCTGTCAGAGTCACAGAGTAAGGAGCAAATCCTTATGTTGCATGTTTGAATCTCACTGTGGGACGTGGAGACCGGTCCTTCGGATGAGACCGTATAAACCGAGGTCCCGTGTCACAGTAGGTTTTGGCACAGAAAGATCTCCCATTGCTTAATGGCCCTAAATGCTGGATATAGGTATTAATTTCAATTTGCAGCCCTCCATTGGCAAGTGGTGGTGTCTCCATAGGAGTGTAAAATTCTGAAGAGGGTTGTTAAATACAACAAAATCCCTGAGATAATTTCCTGCTGTACAGTAAATTAAAGTCTTGATATCAGTACTTAGAACAGTATACATATTTCATATATGTATAACGAAGTGTTCAGAAAAGTTTTCATCTCTGAAGGGTATTTTGTAATGTACATTGTTTGACTATACAGTGGACCTTCAGATATCCGGACGCCAGATATCCGGATGCTTCAGTATCCGGACGCTATTTCATCGGAACAGAATTTTAAAATGTTATTATGTCTTGTTTAACTGGTGATTCAGGTATCCAGACGCTTCACATATCCGGATAAATTGACTGGGAACCAAAGCGTCCGGACAAATGAGGCTCCGCTGTAGATTAATTTAAAAAATTATTAATTTGCAAGTGCTGATCTTTTTGTTCTTTGTTGTAGGGACCAAAAGGAGAGACAATCGGGGCAATTGTACAACCCCTGCCATATTCCTATCTTATCTTTAGAGCTATGTCAGAATCAGCAGGTATAATTTATATAATGCACACACATTAATATATCATACGTTACCTGTTTTAGCTGATATTAAATGAGCTCGTCAGTGTCTAGCAAAGGGGGGTGGGGGGTTTGTAGTCAAAAGTTGCCAAAAAATCTACTTTGAATACGCTTTACATTTGAGATCTCTGATCTTTCCACTCTGTACAAACCCTTTGCAAATCATGTTATAAAACATCTGGATTGTTTATTTTACATGATCTTAGAACCTAACCCGCTTTTTCCTCCAATCAGCAGCTGCTAAATTTTCTATTAAGTCGATCACTTAATTGTTAAGATTTTATGTTTATGCAGTAATGACTAATTAGCCAATGAAAAAGCGCGATTACTAAGTAAGTTAGATCATATTAAGTAAAATTTTAGTGGTTAAGAATTGTCCCTCCGCCCCTTCTTAACCACTAAAATTTTACTTAATATGATCTAACTATTACTTAATTAACTCATATACATAGCCTTTGTCATTGATAAAAATAAAGTTGAAGCATTTAAAAGACATTTATCATGTTCAAAAAGCAGATAACTAACTGTTGATTTGTACAAGGTGTAAATCTTGACTTGATACCAGATTACATTATCTGCACGTGATTTAGAAGTTAAATGACACCCCCATTAATTTATTTATAGAATGGCCTGTTATCTTATTGATAATAATACATGAGCTACTCATTGCCTTAGCCTTTTAAAAAAGTTCCCCAAATCTAAATATCAACATATTGATTATACCTCTGCAATGCAATGCACTTGCTCATGGTAGTATTACATAAACTGCTGTGACCAATCACACCTCATGAAAAATGTCCCCTAAATTGATGGTATGATAGACTTGGGGTTTGTTAGGAGTGGAACGAGTTAGAAACATGTTGCAAGCAAAGTTGCCAGATTTTATTTCATGGCATACTAGTGTCCTTTTAACATGTTTAAGCGTCAGGGTTTTTTTGACAACACGTGTTTTGAAGTGTATTTAAATACTGCAGTTTTAAGTAATATTTCAATTTTTGCAATAAGAATCTCCTAAGATTAAGGTACTGTAAACGTATTACATATGGCTGTGTATTCTTTTTAGCTTTTTTGGCGGAAAGCAATATCCGCTAATGCAAGTACAACTCTAAATGTCTGGCACAGATACCTATAAAGAAGAACATTAAGATATGCACTAAATCAAATCCACGCTAACTTGTTCAAAATCCAAATTCCGCCAAATATTGTACACACTAAATATAATTCGTTTACAGTATATAATACCTTGCATGGTACCTTCTTTTTTTTTAAATACATATTTATGAATATATTGACAGGCCATACTTTATATTTATACCGGAATATATAAACAGGCTTGGTGATAAAAAAAATAATTGATACCATTTTGAAGAATAGTAAAACTCCCATGTAACACAACAAAATTTAATGCAATTATTTCAAAATTTAATACAGTATGCTTTGACATTTTTTGCAGTATATGTCATGCATAATATTTTATGTATTTTGTAAAATCAACAATCTTGTAAAAGTGTAGTTCAGTATAATGCACTTTATTCATAATGTCCCTTTTGTTCAAAGCATGAGATGGTTTCCTTTTAAAGTTTTGATCACATCAGTACATTTCTCACATTTCTCTGTCTATTAGAAATATTCTCAAGGGAAAATTGGCATTGTCCTTTAGATATCCCCACAGATAAAGTCCACTGGGCTGAAATCGACAACTGCCTCAGGTTTCACTTGGAGATGTTTGCAACCCTGAATTGTTAATTAATGAAAGTTTTATGTCATCATAACATATATTAATACTGATGTCATAATCCTTTTTAATACTAATACTACTATTTATCCATTAAAAAAATATAAAGCATAGTAGTGTAAATTGATATACAAACAAAAAATGAACACTGATTGATGATTATTTTAAGATCAAAGTAGTGAATGGTATTTTGGATCACCTAGGTGTTTCACCCTGTTCACCCTGTATTCAAACAGATTTACTCCATTCTCCTTACAGATATTTACTAAAACATCTCTATCTTTTCCCCAGGGAAGTGCTGGATGGATGCCCTTGACCTTGCCCTTCGCTGTACCAGTCTCTTGGTACGCTCCATGAAGAAGGACGCTGAGTCCACACATTCAGCGGCGGGGCTCCCCCAGGAGGCCATGTTAACCCCCCCATTTCCTGCCGACCACAGTGAACAATTAAATGAGAGCGATTGTGAAAAACATTTTGAAGGTCAGGGTAAGTGTCTGTCAAGTGATGTCATATTCCATGAAATACTCACTCACATTGTTGATATGAAAAATAGGTCCAGTGTGTCTTCTATAAGCCATTGTCATGCCGACTCGTGTTTTCATTCCAAGTTTATGGTTTCTGAATTTAGGATATTTTCAATCTTTTTAAATGAAGTTTTATTATAATTACACATACATAAAATAAAAGACTTGGGTTTTACTTCACATATGATATCCTTTCTCTGTATTGACATTGTATCTGCTATGATGGACAGGTGTGAATATTACTAATTGTGATTGACAGGTCTGTATATTAATCTTTTGATTAACAGGTCTGGATGAGGATAGTAAGACCGACAGAGAGGAGATGAAGACAGACACGGAGACAGAATCCGAGGAAGACGACGTCAAAGTGTTTGATGACAATGTACCTCCTGTAGAAACCAAGTATATAGAGAACGCTAAGGAGGAGCTAGGACAGGTGATTGAACTCAAATTATCTCCCTTCTCTTATAAAATAACATGAAAAAATGAGCATTAATTAGCTGCAGGGGTGTATTTACTCTGTTTTATGGTTTTGTGTCAAAGGTTTATATACAGTCATAACTCAGGACATGTGATTGACTATAGTTAGTGTAGGAGAGTTATCTCCCTTCTCTCTCACAAATTTATAACAAAAAGTGAATGTTATGTAGATGCTAAGTGATATTTATTCTGTTTCATGGTTTCTTGTCTGTGTAGACAGCTTTCTAATCCATATATCAATTATGATGTGATATGAAGAAAATAATGGAGCTTGAATTAGCTTTAAAAATAATTGTGCAATTCTCAAAAGAGAACTGTTTTGATTTAATATTGGAATTTGTGTACTTGATTGAAATAAGATTGCTTAATTATGTGATATTTTATTTGTACAGCAAGGTGATTCCTGTCAAACGGAAGAAGTTGATGATGAAAACAAAAGTCTGATATGGACACTGGTCAAACAGGTAAACGATTGAGTTATATGTACCTCAGTACATGTCAAGAAAGTTCAGAAATTTGAAGTTTAGTTTTGACCCTATCCAAACCAGCAATAGTCAGAGGTAGAAACTAGTGAACTTAATTAACATGTCTTTTATTTGATTGAAAAGAAAAAAAAATACCTTAAGTTATAAAACTTAATTTTGAGCATTCAGATTACTTATGTTAATGATTAAAGAAATTGTGTGGTTGGTTTCTTTTGGCAGGTACGACCAGGGATGGATTTATCTAAGGTGGTCCTCCCTACGTTTATATTGGAGCCTCGGTCATTCCTGGATAAACTGACTGATTATTACTACCACTCCGACATTTTATCTGAGTAAGTTTTATATCTGTAAACATCACTGCAAACTAGTCATTATTGTAATGTTAATTTCAGGAAGGCACCTATTTCTTTTGCTTAAATGCAAAATAAGTTAGCTTATTTATATATTGATGGAATGTTCATATAATTTTGTTTACAGAGCCATCTCCATGTATTATTTTGACAAAAAAGCAAAATAATGAGTAAATGTCATTACAATTTGTATATCTGATGTATTGTTTATATTTCCTTTAAAGAGCTGTGTTATTAGATGATCCATATGCCAGATTAAAGGCTGTGGTTAGATGGTATCTCTCAGGATTTTACAAAAAACCAAAGGTGAAAAAATAGCAAATATTTCTGTGTAATAAAGATATAAAATTTAGCTTTGGTATCTCAAAAAATGACATCTTAAATATCATGGTTATGTGAAAAAGAGTTGTCCTTAAGTACACATTTTTACTTTTGATATTTTAATTGAAAAGTATTGCAAAAGCTATATATAATTTTTTTTTAATAAAATTTGTTTCAGGGTCTCAAAAAACCATATAATCCAATAATTGGTGAAACATTTAGGTGTTACTGGAAACACCCAAAAACTAATAGTAGGACTTTTTATTTAGCTGAACAAGTAAGTGGTGCAAGATCATTTATTATAGGTCTATCTATACATATACTTATTTAAATTCAAGTTGGAATATTTCTGATTTTCTAATCTAATACTAAGAGAATGCATGTATGTCATTTTAGATCTCCCATCACCCTCCCGTATCGGCCTTTCATATAACAAATCGTCATGATGGATTTAATATTAGTGGCAGCATTCTGGCTAAATCAAAATTCTATGGTAAGAAAATATAAAAAAAAAAATATCAGGGATAGTTACTTAGTTACTTAGATATGTTAGTTTCTTAATGAAGCTTTAAATGAATTCTATTATGCTTCCTAATTTTTATCCACAGGTAATTCCTTATCAGCTATATTAGATGGTACAGCCAAGTTAACATTCCTTAAGAGGGGAGAAGACTACTTAATAACCATGCCTTATGCACATTGTAAAGGTAAATCATATTGTACCATTTTTTTTTTTTAAACAAAATGCATTTTGATCATTAGATCATATGTAAAGTGAATGATGAAGATTTGTTTATTAATAAGGAGTTCACAACATCTATAGGTTTGCAAGTTATTGGACGAAAGTGGATAAATCTAACAAGTCAATTGTGAATTTTTCTGTTTGCTAGGTATCTTAATAGGGACATTGACAATGGAGATGGGTGGTAAAGTTTCCATTAGCTGTCCAAAGACAAGTTATAGAGCAGAGGTGGAATTCAAATTAAAGGTGTGTTTTGTCTCTCTATGGTAGTAAAATAATCATAACTTCCTGGGCCTTCCTGAAAGGAGAAACTAAAATGATTTTTTGAAATTTCGAAAATTTACTGACTATTTGAACAAAAGCCTCAGGAAATATTTTCTGTCTTGGTCTTTTACTATGGATTTTCTTATATATCCATGCTTTTAATTGAAATAACCTTTTCAAGTGTTATTGCTTGATTGGGAGACTGTTGTACTTGTTGGCTACCTGTGAAAACTGTACTGTTGGGATTTCTCATTTTAGCCTTTCCTAAACATGGGTGAAGCCTCTAACAAGTTGACTGGGAAATTAAAGGTTGGATCTGACACACTGGCCACTCTGGAGGGGCACTGGGACCAGGATATCTACATCAAGGACAAGGCGACAGGGGTAGGCCAATTTCATTGAGGAACAGGAAAAAATATATCAAAATATAGACCAATCCTCTGGAAAGGATAGAGATATCAAAGATAAACTTTATTTTAAAATGTACATTTAGTCATGATTTTGATGTACATGTATATAAGAACAAAAAAAGTTGAAGACCACATAACTTTTGTGAAGGCGAAACCCACATGGAATTGAAAATTGCAAAAATAAATATACTGTGTGCTCTGTTTGTAGGAAACCCATTTGTTTTGGAGTCCAACAGCAGAAACAAAAGCTCAGAGGCTAAAAAGATACACAGTACCTATAGATCACCAAGAGGATATGGAATCAGAGAGGTCAGTTAAAACCACTTGTGTTTAAGATAGGAATGAATATCCCTCACAAACAGAGACTGGGTGGGGTGGGAGGTGTGTAGGCATACAAATAATTGTTTTGCTGTTGTGTCCAAAAATACAACTTTGTAGCAGAAAATTAGCAAATTTGCAAATTTCATGTCACTTGCAGAAGAAAAGTATAAAGTTTGCATCTACAACTTCCCATGGAATGAAAAAAAAAACATTGGAAGTTCATACATGTAGCTCATACAAAGATTGCTTAAAAGACCTGAAAGTTTGTCATGATCTTGACTCGAGGTCTTTTTGTCATGTTCAATTCATAAATATGATGAGATTTTATTCCAGGTTGTGGAAAAATGTGAGTGACGCAGTTGTTGCTTCAGACATGCATGCAGCCACTCAGGAGAAATATATACTGGAGGAGAGGCAGAGAAATGAGGCAAAGGAAAGGAAAGCCAAGATGCTGGAGTGGGTACCCAGGCTGTTTGAGAGGGACCCCCTCACTGGGGATTGGATGTATAAGTTTGTCGAGTAAGTTTTTGAGGAGCACACAAAGTGGAAAATTTGCTTATTTATCATGTATTTTCTAAACGCAATGAATATAAGAATCATAATATTTTTAATTATAAAGAGTTTTAATGTTCTTGTAGAAATTTTATTCCGCCCCCCCAAATGTGTTAACTTGATGTAAAGAAAGGGGGGGAAATCAGTAATTACCCTTAGCAAAATAGTTAATATTATATATATTTTTAACTTAAGCATGCGACCATGGGATCCTAGCAATGATTTACTACAGTATGAACAAGGCTATAAAATCCAGACCTGGACTAAACACAAGACTCCAGTGGTGCGGACCTGCAGTATTACTAGTCTGGATCAGAAGCCAGATGTGTTTCCAGTCAGACAAATGATTTCCCGGAACTGTTCACTGAAGAAGAAGACGCTACAGGCCCTGGAGGAGAGCGAGAGTTCTACTCCGGAGATCGAGAATGGCAGGCTAGACAGTGATTCATCCGAGCCTAATAAAAGTAGGTAGAAATAGGGGAATTTTTCCTGATCATTAAAAAGGAATATTATCAAAGAAAAAATTCAGTATTTGAAAGTTTGATGATATCATTAACATGTAATTTTCATTAAACATTTGCCCACTGAGAGGAAAACCTATGACATTTGAGCACAGGTGTTCTTAAAATTCTTGTTTAGGTCAACATGTATACATAAAAAGTAAAAAAAAATCCAAAGAAATTGGAATAAGAAAATTATTTTCCTGAAACAGGTTCCATTGAACTAAAGCTGTTGACTCTATTTTTTTTCATAGCAATACGATGTGACATTATATCAGTTCAAATTGTAGCCATTGATTGTTTTCATTTGTGCATTTAATTTAATTTCAAGGTCGAAGAGTACAGAAGTCCTCCTCCAGAGCGAGGCTGTCGGAGGAATCACTCACGAAAGCAATGCAGCCATTACTGAAACTACAGGAGGAGACAAATCAATCCTTAAAAGTGATACAAACTCGTCTAACTTTATTAACTTCTCGCATTGAAGAGCAGCAACAAGGGACCTTATCCACTTGGCCTTGGCTGATTTTATTTGCAGCATTTGTGATTCAGATATTTGTTCAGTGGCTCTTCAGATGAAGGCAAATGCCCGGTTATGGATTAATGTCGATTGTTCCTGTGTGTTCTTGCTTTGCCAGTAATTTTCTGTTATGTTTTTACATTTTATGTTTTATCTGCTGATGGAAGATCTGAGTTTTTAAAAGACGATGAAATAGTTTAATATGCTATTGTGATTTCTTAAAATTTGGAACAATACACTCCATGAAATGTGTATTAAATCTACTGGTTATAATTCTGAAGAAGATAAATACATGCTTCTCTATTGTTACGTCATAATACCATGCTCATGATACTTGATGTTAAAACTAAAGTGCAAACCATTTTGGTTGCAAACTGTTTTTGTTTCGAAAATTAATATGAGTAGCATAATTTCTGGTAACTCATCAGATAAATAATGTAAATATAAGGTATAAATTGGATTTTTTGAAAATTAATAATAAGGTACATGAACTACAACACTCTATGTCAGGATATTTAAAATGAGGCACATACAAAAACTTTATTTAAAATATGCCAGTATGAAGCATTGAAGTTCATGTCCAAGTGAATTTTCAAAAAAAATTTAATTCATTTCTTAGATAAAGATTTCAAAAAAAAGTTGTCCAATTAAGGAAATATTTTTTCCATAGGGAAATGGTGCAATAATCATTCAAAGAAAGATTCATTATTGATTTAAACATTATGTGATAGGACATTTTTGCTGCAATTGATTATTTAGTGTTACATTGTATGTGCTACAATGTGTTTCAAACTATTGTGTTCATCATATTAATTATATATTTTGTTTGATTACTAGAGTTGATATTATTTTGATTTAATTAGTTGTGCAATACATCATTAAAGGCTCATTTGTTGAAATGATTTCTCAATCTTATGGTGCAATCCTTTAATATCTGTTACAAACATATATTATTTCAAACAGAGAGATGTTATATATTCTTTTTTTATTTCTTGTACAAAATATTTATATATAATCTTATCTATATATATTAGTGCAAATATTCTGTTTACATGATTTGTTTGATGTACTGTAGATCACCGAATTTTTGGGGCACTTTATTTTAGCAAGATTTTTGTGAGATAAGTCTTTGGTATTTATAAGAGAGATAATATTTTCACAAATTCTGGTTACTGATAATGCAATCATTACCCAATTACCAAAATTAACAAAAATTACCAAAATGACATTTTTGCAAATTGGCTGTCTCATGTAATTTTGTGAAAAAAAAAGTTCTCGCAAATAAAAAGTGATTTACAGTATACTGACTAAGGCAATAGAGCTCATATTTTATTTCTCATAGAAATTTTTTTGTCAGTTTTTTTGGTTGTTTGTGTTAGTATGTACATTGACATACTTGTGTTATCGTGTATAGTACTGAAATCCATTTAAACAAGATTGTAAATGATTAATTATTATGAGTTGAAAATGCATAAAGGGAGATTATTCATGTCGAGTAATTTTTTCCCCATAATGTGCTGTTACATTTGTTCATCTGTTTGACTTTGTAATGGTACAGTTATTATTCTGTCACTGGTATCTGGCATATCAGAATCTTGTGAATACATTGAAACAGCTTCAAATTCAAATGAATTTGTTTGAAAACCTAATAGAAATATACATGTATATACTTAAATATGGCTGCCAGTAATAACTAGGGGGAGCCTTACAAAAAGAAGTTGGACACATTATTTATTGGT